GCAGTTCTTCTCTGTTTAAGTAATATTTGCTGTTTTATTTTTCCCATCAAACTGAACAACTTCACATTTTCCCACATTCACTCCATTTGTCAGATGATTTTTGCCCACTCACTCAATTGATTCATGTCTGTCTACAACTTCCCTATGTCTTCTTCACAACATACCTATTTTGGTATTACCTGCAAATTTAGCCACAATGCCATTGCTCTCCTTGTCGAAGTCAATGATATAAACTGTAAAATGTTGAGACCCCAGCATGGGACTCCAGTCATTACATCCTGATAATCAGAAAAATGCTCATTATGCATACTTTGTTTTCTGCCTGCAGCCAGCCAATCTTCTAACTATGCTAATATTTACCTCCTACACCATGAGTTTCTTTTATCTGCAATAACCTTTAATGAGTCAACTTATCAAATGTCTGCTGGAAATCCAAATACAGTATGTCTAATGCTCCCCTTTAACAAACAGTGCACATATTACTTCTTCAAAGAACTTCAGTAAATTGGTTATACACAATTCCCCTTTGACGAAACTATCCCAACTCTTCCCTTGTTTTTTTTAAATGTCTAGCTAGAATCTCTTTAATGATCCATTTTAACACTTGTTCAAGTCTCATGATTAGGATTTATTAGCAAATGTATCAAGGTCGCCAAGTCCATTTAACTATGCCCAAAAATAACCCTCCAAAGTACATGGTGCAGAAATTAAGTCATAGTCATACAGTACAGAAACAGCACCTTTAGTCCAACTTGTTTGTGCCAACCAGCCATCCCAATCTGACCTAGTTCCATTTGCCAGCATTTAGCCTAAATCTCTCTATTCATATACTCAAACAGATGTCTTTTAAATGTTGTAATTGTACCCGGCCTCCACCACCTCCTCCAGCAGTCTCCAATCAATACAACCATTTCCTCCCATGAAAGCAAATGACTGTGGGTGCTGGAGAATGTCAGAAATAAAAACAGAAGGTGCTAGAGAAACTCAGTATGTCTGGCAGCATCTGTGGAGAGAGAAATAGAGTTAACATTTTGAATCCAATATGATTCTTATTTGGTTCCAAAAAGTCATTTTGGATTTGAAATGTTAAATTTATTTCTGTCTCCACAGATACTGCCAGACCTACTGAATTTCTCCAGCACTTTGTGTTTTTATTTCAACCATTTCCTCTCCTTGGATCAAAATGAACCAGATAAGAGTTGTCAGATAGTGTGCCAGTAGCTTCCAAATTCTTCCAAGTTATATTAATGCTGCACAATAAGATGCCAACATGGTATCAAATGGCTGAAAAACAGAAGCCAAGTATAAATTCAAAATTTACCATGATAAAGCATTCCTGCCAATTGACATCACTGTCTTCTTCACTGCTTTGAAGCTTTGAAGTGGAAATGTGACATTCTGTGCTGATCCTTGGCTCCTGGCCCTCATTCCCTCCCACTGCTCACTGTTTGAGACAGGAACTGGGTGCCAAGGTTAACAAATAGAACTTCACAGTTACATTCCTCAGACTTAAGAAAATGATAAGTTCACAGCTAAAGGCAAGGAAATACAGTATTTGCAACATAACTAAAAAGTCCATCCATCTGTTGCTGTTTTGCATTACACCTACCCTATCCCTCCCCAACTTAGGGAATAACTGCAAGGGTGAAATGCAAACAGAACACAAGTATAATAACGCAGGGTGCTTCTCAGCCATAACTTGTTTTAGAAACTAACTAAGGCTACTGGAAAAGCAGAATAAAAAGCATGCCGAAGTTCTAATATAAATCAAAAGTAATAAAAATGATCGAGTCACAAACAAAGTTAGTGTCAGCTAACTTTGTTATTTCAGTTGGTAGCACTCTCGGTCATGAAATTCACAGTTCAAAGCATACTCTAAAGCTTCAGTAGAAACACCCAAGGCAGATGCTCCAATCGGAACTGAGGGAGTGCTGTACCATTGGAGGGGACATCTTTGGTTGAGATGTTAATAATTTTTTAGTCATTAGTGGGGTATGAGCATCTTTGGCGTTTATTATAAGAACAAATTACTACAGATGCTGGAATCTGTACTGAAAACAACAAATGCTGGAGATCACAATGGGTCAGACAGCATCCATGGAGAGGGCAAGCTAACGTTTCATCTACACTCAAAATGTTAGCTTGCTGTCTCTCATTGGCATTTATTATCCATCCCCAAGCAGCCAGAAGGAGGCTAAAAGTCAATCACACTGCTGCAGATCTGTGATCTGCAGTCACATGCAGATCCCATCAGGTAAGAATGGCAAAGTTCCTTCCTTAAAGGACACTAAGGTGGGCTGTTACAACAGTCGACAATAGTTATAAAGTAGTCATCAGGCTAGCTTTCAATTCCAGAGTTTCAATGAATTCAAATTTCACTATCTGACATGATGGAATTCAAACCAATGTCCTGAGAGCATTAACCTAGGGTTCTGGATTAGTAGCACAGCGACATCACCATTACACCACCAAAAAGGCTCCATCTGCTTGCTTGGGTTGACGTAGAAGGTCCCATGAAACGATTTTGAAGAAAAGCAGGGGCGTTCTATCCATTGGCCGAGTGACAGGCAACAAAGAATAATGGTCAATGGATACTTTTTGGGCAGGAGGAAAGTTTATAGTCGAGTTCCCCAGGGTCCATATTGGGCGCCTTGCTTTTCCTGATATATGTTACTCATCTCAATCTTGGTGAGCAGAACACAATTTCAAAGTTTGCAGATGATATGGAACTTGGAAGAATTGTAAACTGTGAGGAGTACAGGGTGAAACTCCAAAAGGACACTGACAAATTGGACAAATCGGAGGAATGGGCAGATAGGTGATGGATGAGTTTATTAAAGAGAAGAGTTACATGTGAGTTTGATAGGAAGAATGTGAAAAAGACAACATAAAACAGATTGTACAATTCTAAAAAGGGGTGCAGGAGCAAAGGGACCTGGATGCAAAAGTGCAGGGATCATTGATTGTGGCAGGACAGGTAGAATGAGCAGTTAATAAAGCCTTTAGTTACCTTAGTTTTCTTAATGGGTGCATAGAGAGCAAGAGCAAGAAAGCGATGTTGAACTTGTATAAGACACTTTTTAGACCTCAGCTGGAGTATTATGCACAGTTGTGGGTGCCACATTATAGCAAAGATGTGAAAACATTGGAAAGAATGCAGATTTTTTCCTAGGGTGGAGGTAGCTATTATGAGGGAACGTAGTTTTAAAGTGAATGGAGGTAGATATCGGGGAGACGTCAGAGGTAGGTTTTTTTACTCAGAGAGTGGTAGGGGCGTGGAATGCATTGCCGAAGAGGGTAGTGGAGTCGGCCTCATTAGGGGCATTTAAGCGGCTATTAGACAGGCATATGGATGATAGTATAAGGTAGGGGTAGAGGTTAGATAGACCTTAGGATTAGGGTAAAAGTTTGGCACAACATCGTGGGCCGAAGGGCCTGTACTGTGCTGTACTGTTCTATGTTCTAAGTGATTTACAACAATGGTCCCGGGGTTGAGAAACTTCATTTAGAAGGATAGACTGATTAAGTTGGGACTGTTCTCCTTGTAAAGAAGGCAACAGACTGGACATTTGATATATGTTTTCAAAATCATGTGCAGGCTGAATAGAGAAGGTAGAAAGAAGCTGCACCCACTCATTAAAGAAAACAAGAATAAGAGGGTATAGATTTAAAGTGATGTGCAAAAGATGCAAGGGTGTGAGAGAAAAACTTTCTCACACAGCGAATAGTTAGGATACGGAATACACTGACTGGAAATGTGATGGAGGCAGGTTTAACTGAGGCATTCAAGAGGGCATTGAATGATTTTTTAGATAGGAATGATGTACAAGGATATGAGGAAAAAGCAGGAAATTGGCACTAATGTGATATTAAAGAATTCAGAACTGTTTATGGACTGAATGAATCAACAAAAGATAAACTATTACACATGCAATAAGTCTGTCTGGAATAAATTGTTAAGGAACAAAGACAAACTGTTACACAGGGACTAAGCAATTAGCCATGTCTTGGCAGGATTACATAAACAAAATTGCTTTGACACCTGCTTGATAAACTGGATGCTTTATTGTCACATGGACAACTGATTGCCCTGCAGAAGAATTTAAAGAGTTAACTGCAGGAAAGCTGTGACTTTGAACAGACAGTGAATGCCAAATGGAACAAGAATCAAAGAAATTACTTTGTGATATGAAGGCCAGCTGCAGACTTGCAGTAATTTGGATGAAAGGACTTTTAGAAAAAAAAATCAATATCACACATAGCCCGAAGGACGAAAATCTGTATAAGAATCAAACACCAGAATTCCACCTTAGCGGAACTTCGAATTACAAGACTGCCCAAGGATCAAACTCTGGCAATTCCCCCCACCAGCAACAGACCACAGCTGGTTGAACTCCTGGCCAGATTTCACCATTAATTGGGTAAAAGCTAAGTTGGGGGTTGCAGGCTTCTACTTCCTTACTTAAGGGGTCTTATATTTGGTTGTTACATGCAATAAAGTTTGAATTATTGTTTCAGTATTTGAATATGAGATTTCTTAATAAATAGTTGAATTAAAAGGTAACTTGTAGTGATTTACCCACAACACTAAGCAATGGAGCTCATTTGTAGATAGGCCAAATGGCTGCCTCCTGTGCCGTAACAATTCTGAGATTCCACGTCCTGACCAATATTTATCCCTCAATCAACATTACAACATACAGATTATCTAGTTTTTAATCACATTGCTATATCTATGAGTTTAATGCATGCAAATTTGTTGCCATTTTTCCTACATTAAAATTGTGCTACATACATGCAAGTCTTTTTTTTCTTTAACAATTACTTTGCTCAATTAGCAGAAAACAGTAAGCCTGCTTTTATGAGTTCAAAAGTATAGGTTTGCATTTTTTATTGGAATAAAGTGTTGTTCTGGAACATTCTTTTTAAACCAGATGGTCATGGGATGAACTTAAAAACATGATTCCTCACAATATTGTTAATGCTTTGTGATTCCTTACCATGACTTGGGAATCCTTCTTCACCAAATAGCCTTGGTTCAAGACGTTTCAGAGAACTTCTCCCTTTTAGTCGAACAAGCAGCTATCAAAATAAATATTTCAATAATGAAGTAAAATTCCTAATAACTTCAAATTTTACTTACATCTATATACAACTGTGTTGTGACAACTTTTTTTTCCTCTGCTACTGGTCACAGCTACAGGACCTGCTGGAAACAGGTGCAGATTGAACATTAATTGCTGTTTTCTTTAGTGTCCAATGATTATGATTATTATTGGATGATATATCTCTTAAAATTATTACTGGCTGAGACATCTGTCTCTGGAGAACGCTTTGACATTAAGCCTGGTGCGTCAGGACACACTTTCAACCAGTTTTTTACCTGTTTGGAGACAGGCTTTTTGCTTGACTACAGCAGTAATGAGTTTTCAGTTGAAAGGTTTGAGCTGTACTTTATGGTCTTTCATAGAAACATATATGATAGGAGCAGAAGCAGGCCATTCAGCCCTTCGAGCCTGCTCCGCCATTCTTCATGATCATGGCTGATTGTCCAACTGAATAGCCTAATCCTGCTTTCTCCCCAGAACCTCTGATCCCATTTGTCCCAAGTGCCATATCTGGTCACCTCTTGAATACATTCAGTGTTTTGGCATCAACTACTTTCTGTGGTAATGAATTCCACAGGCTCACCACTCTCTGGGTGAAGAAATGTCTCCTCGTCTCCGTCCTAAATCGTCTACCCCGAATCCTCATACTGTGACCCCGCTTCTGGACACACTCACCATCGGGAACATCCTCCCTGCATCTACCCTGTCCAGTCCTGTTAGAATTTTATAAGTCTCTATGGAATCACCCCCTCATTCGTCTGAAATTCAGTGAAAACAATCCCAACCTAGTCAATTCCTCCTCATATGTCAGTCCCACCATCCCCGGAATCAACCTGGTAAATCTTCGCTGCACTTCCTTGAGAGCAAGAGCATCCTTCCTCAGAAAAGGAGACCAAAATTGCACACAATATTCCAGGTGTGGCCTCACCAAGGCCCTATACAACTGCAACAACACATCCCTGCTACTGTATTCAAACCCTCTCGCAATGAAGGCCAACATACCATTTGCCTTCTTTACCGCCTGCTGCACCTGCATGCTTACCTTCAGCAACTGGTGCACAAGGACACCCAGGTACTGCTGCACACTCCCCTCTCCCAGTTTACAGCCATTCAGGTAGTAATCTGCCTTCTTGTTTTTGCTTCCACAGTGAATAACCTCACATTTATCCAAATTATACTGTATCTGCCACGGATTTGCCCACCCACCCAACCTGTTGAGATCATGCTGAAGGATCTCTGCATCCTCGTCACAGTTCACTCTCCCACCCAACTTGGTATCATCTGCAAACATGGAGACATTATATTTTGTTCCCTCATCCAAACCTTTAATATATATTGTGACTAGCTGGGGTCCCAGCACCGATCCCTGCGGCACCCCACTTGTTACTGTCTGCCAATTTGAAAAGGAACCATTAATTCCTAGTCTTTCCTCTTTGCCAACCAATTTCCTATCCATCTCAATGCACTTCCCCCAATCCCATGTGTTTTAATCTTGCATGTTCATCTCTTATGTGGGACTTCGTCAAACGCTTTCTGAAACGTGAATGTTGTCCATCACCTAATTGTATTTAAGTTGAGTGGCATAATAGGCTACTTCAGGTAAGGTTAGTCCTTCCTTAAAGGACATTTAGTGATCATTGGTAAGGAATACTGGAATCTATTATAAAGGATGTGATCACTGGATATTCAGAAAATAATGTCTGATTGGACAAAATTAGCATGGATTTATGAAGGGGAAATCATGATTGACAAACGCAGTGTTTTGGGGATGCTAATCATCAAGGGAGAACCAATGACTGTAGTGTATTTGGATTTTCAAAGGCTTTTGATAAAGTCTTACACATAAGGTTACTAAACAAAATTGAAACAACTGTAATTGGGAGTAATAGGTTTGCATGGATTGAGGATTGGTCAACATGCAGAAAGCACAGTAGGTATAAATGGGCCATTCTCTGATTGGTGGGCTCTATGTGCAGACAGGGAAGAAGGTACTGCTATTTTGCTTCTGGTATTTGCCTTGGTTCATGTAATAGTTCCTTGAAAGTGGAGTTGCAGAGAGACAGGGTGGTGAAAGAACGTTTGGCACGTTTACCTTCATCAGTCAGAACACTGAGTATAGGAGTTGAGACATCATGTTGCAGCTGTACAGCACATTGGTGAAGCCACTTTTAGGGTACTGCATACAATTCTGGTCACCCTTCTATAGGAAGGATGTTGTTAAACCGGAGGGTGCAGAAAAGATTTACAAGGACGTTGCTGGGACTGGAGAGTTTGAGTTATAAAGAGAGGCTGAATAGGCTTGGGCTTTTTTTTCCTGTGTGTCAGAGGCTGAGGGGTGGGCTTGTAGAGATTTATAAAATCATGAGAGGAATGGATACAGTGAATAGCCAAAGTCTTTTCCCTAGGGTGGGACAGTCCAAAACTAGAGGGCACAGGTTTAAGGTGAGAGGAGAAAAATTTAAAAAGGACCTGAGGGGTAAATTTTTCATGCAGAAAGTGGTGCGTGAAAGAGCTGTCAGATGAAGTAGTGGAGATGGGTACAATTACAACATTTAAAAGGCATCTGGGTGGGTATATGAATAGGAACGGTTTAGAGGGATGTGATCTAACTGTTGGCAAGTGGGACTAGGTCAGATTCGGATGTCTGGTCTGCACAGATGAGTTGGACCAAAGGGTCTATTTAGTGCTGCATAACTCTACGACTCCACTCATTTTTCAAAAAGATTTTTTAACTGTTTGATACAAGTGAGAGTGGCTTGCTAGGGTATTTCGAGGACACATTGAATGCCCAGAGTCACAGAGGCACCAGCCCAGGTAAGGATGGTGGATTTCTTTTCTTAAAAAGGCATTATAGGTATATATGGACAGGAGTAGGCCATTCAGCCCTTAAATCTGTTCCACCATTCAATGAGATCCTGGATGATCTGTGGCCTAACTCCATGCACCTGCTCTATGGCCCATATCCCTCAACACCTTTGCTCAACAAAAATTTATTTACTTCACATTTAAAGCTAATTATTGATTTAGCATCAACTCCCATTTGTGGAAGAGAGTTCCAAACCACTACCACGCTCTTAGTGTAGACATACTTCCTAACATCTCTCCTGTACAGTCTGGCCCTAAATTTCAGACTATGCCCACTAGTTCTAGAATCTCCAGCCAGAGGGAATAGTTTATCTGTACTTATTCCATCTCTTAATATGTGAAGACTTCAATTAGTCACCCCCTAACCCTCTAGAGAAACCAGACCACATTTGTATGATCTCTTCTCATAACTTAACTCCTGGAGTCTAGGTATTATTCTTGTAAACCTATGATGTACTCCCTCCAAAGTCAATATATCCTTCACAAGGCGCACTGCCTAGATCTGCTCACTGTATTCCAAGTAGACCAGCTAGATTTTTACTACAATGACAATGGTTTCAGATTATAATCCAATGACTTACAATTCCAGATTTTTCCATTTACTGTCGTGAGATTTGAACCCAAGACCCCAGAGCACTAAGTGTGTTTCTGAATTACTAGTACAGTGACAATACCAATATACCGTCACCCAATAGGTTACTATTAAAGCTGTTTTACAGAACTATGTTGCAAAACAGAAATGTGTTTTTTTTTCAGTAATTTTGTGGCAATGTTATTCTTTTGTATCCTAACACAAATTTCAGCCTCTCTCTCCATATTCCTTGGTGAAAGAAGACATGGTTCCTCTTCCGAATCAGCCTCTCCTTTATTCACTCATGCTCTCCTATCCCAACTTACCCACTCAACCTCTGCTCTCCCTCTCTAGCCCTATTTCTCCACTCAATCCAGAAATATTTATCCACTTCTCTTTCTCCACTCTCCCCCAAACACTAGGCTTTCCCCACTGCAGAAAAGTGGGAGAGCAGGAGTGCAGCGGAACAGCAGCCAGTGCCCAAATTCTGGACCCTGGATCCCAGCCCTTGCCCTCAAAGGCACTTTGCGTTGCAGTTGCTTGTTCTTAAGTTTTTAGCTGGCAGAGTGATAGCTTTGGGAAAATCAAAAACCCACACACTACAAGGACACCACTGGACAGGATTAAAATGAGGGAGTTGTTATTATGAAGATGAATTTGATAACAATGGTGACCAATAAATACAATTCACCAAGTTAAAATTACTTATTTCCACTGTGATATTTTTCAATTTGGATGTCAGAATGGTGTCCAAAGTAATTCTGAAATATATTTAGTTGCTGTTGAAATATACTTACTGTGTCCTGGAAAAGTCAAGTAAATGTGTTAAAACAGCAACATTTTATATCCTTATAGTGGTAAGTATTTGGGGGTAGTTGAGAGGAAAATAGTTGTACTGGCAATATGTGTTGAGCAATTGAGAGGACTAAGGTAATCATAGTTTTCCTTTTATTTTTCCTGTCAAAATGATCAATTTCACATCATACTCCATTTTCTGGATCTTGGCTCACTTAGTTAAACTATATCTTTTTGTAGTCCCCTTATGTCCCCTTCATAAGAGATAGTAGGAACTGCAGATGCTGGAGAATCTGAGATAACAAGGCGTACAGCTGGATGAACACAGCAGGCCAAGCAACATCAGAGGAGCAGGAAGGCTGATGTTTCGGGCCTAGAATTCTGATGAAGGGTCTAGGCCCGAAACGTCAGCCTTCCTGCTCCTATGACACTGCTTGGCTTGCTGTGTTCATCCAGCTCTACACCTTGTCCTCTTCATAACTTTCTTTCCTATCCATGAAAAAGGGTTCCGACCCGAAACGTCAGCTTTCCTGCTCCTCTGATGCTGCCTGGCTTGCTGTGTTCCTCCAGCTCTACACTGTGTTATCTCTGACTCCAGCATCGGCAGGTCTTACTGTCTTATGATGAGAGAGATGGTGGGAGTGTTGGTGGCATTTTTTTTAACAAATGACTTAATTTGTGTCTAGGGAGTAGCATTGTAAAGTTTACAAATGAAACAAAATCTGGCAATATAGTGGTGATGAGGATAACTGTAGACTTTAGGGTGGCAAAGAGGGTGGCAAAATGATCAGCAAGGATGTCAAGGCATTGAGAAAGAGCAGAAAAGATTAACTAGATGAGTTTCAGGGACAAGGAACATCTTTTATATAAAGACTGGATAAGTTGGGCTGTTCTCCTTGGAGAAGAGTTTGGAGGGGAGCATTGATAGAGGTTTTCAAATTTGAGATCTGGGCAGAGCAGAGAGAGAAACTATTCCAAGGTTTTTGAGAAGATTTGAAGCTCGGGTTGTTGACTTGCTTGTCAAGTTGGTCAATTTGTTTGCAAATGTTTCGTCACCATGCTAGGTAACATCAGTGTGCCTCCAGCTTCAACGGAGGCACATTGATGTTACCTAGTATGATGACGAAACACTTGCGAACAAACTCACCAGCTCGACGAGCAAGTCAACAACCACAAACTATTCCCATTGGTGAAAGGATAGAGGACCAGACAGCATAAATTGAGGTGACTGGCAAAAGAAGTCAGGCGACATGAGAAAAAGCCTTTTAATACAGTGAGTAGTCAGGATGTGGAATTCACTGAGAATGTGTTACCCTGCCTCCACTATCAAGGCACTCGGAGAGAATTAGGTTATCTGAAAAAGAAAACAGGTGCAGGGCTAGAGGGAAAAACACGTGAATTTCTCCTTCAGACATGTTGAGTTGAATTGTCCCTTTCTATACTGTAACCATTCTATGATCCTGTGATTATGTGAAGTATAGCAGATGAGCTCAATACAGAGGAGTCTGAAGTGATGCAATTGGGAACAACTAATACGGAAAGACTGCATGCAACAAAGGGCGTGATTTTGAAAAATCTCTGATGAGCAGAGCTGATATGCACAAAACCATGAAGATGGCAGAGAATTGATGAGGTGATTATGAGAATCTGGAAAAGCAACGACTGTTCTCCTTGGAACAAAGAATATTGACAAGTTACCCAATCGAAGCTGTCAAGAATGACAAGGATTTTTGTTCAAGCAGGTTGGGAAGGGATGCTCTTTCTGGCATGTAGGTCAGTAACCACAAACCACAGATTTTAAAATCTTTGGAAGAAGATCTAGAGGGGAAATGAGTTTTTCAGTTACCGATTCAGAGTGCTTTCCTAGAAAACCAAATGGAAATTGAGTCCCTAAATAATTTAAAATAGGAGTACCTCAGTTAATGGAGGGTAATCAGCTACAGGGTTACGGGTGGTAGAAGTGGGGAAAGCAGGTGAGAGACTAGGCTTGACTTCTCATTATACAAGACAGCACAGGTACACTGAGCTGACTGGCTGCAAGTTTCTTTGGTTCTATAAACAATTTTCATTTACAACCAATATTGAATCATGATTAAATCTGAACACTTACTGAGGCAAGATGAATACAATCGCAACAACAATTTAATGAGGCGCAATCTCCAAAAATAAATAAGCTCTTTGAAAAAGGGTATTTCATAAATATGGTCAAACAAAAAACGTATTTAGTGCAAATGACGAAGTGTTGACAAAAACTAATAAAACAAACGAGATAATGTTGAGTGTGACTGACGAGAGACAGAGAATGAATGAATTATGAGAAGTTTTAAAACTTAAATGCCACCCCTCTGTGTTAGACCCACATCCCTACTTTATGTCTGTAACCCATTCTTGTCCTCATTCTCGATTACATATCCACATCCCTTTTAAAATGATCTTAGGGTCAGTTCCACCATATTTTCAAGGAGACCATTTCAGATCCTGATCACCCCGAGGGAAAGAAAACTTCAACTCCCCTCTAGATCGTGTACCAAACGATTTCAAAGTCTCGAGCCTCTGTCTGCGCTTGAAAACAAAAATCACTACAAAACGTGGTTCAGGTAGTTCAAGTTTGAGGGGAGAAAATGAACCTCTCCTGCTCCCCGTGTTGTTTTAGACAGGATCCACCAAAGCAGCTTCACTGAAACATCAGCCACAATCTCTAAGGAGACCCAATCTCTCCCTCCGCTTCTTCTTACCTCCGTGCCCGATTCTTTCTCCCGAAAATCGCTGGTCATAACTGAAAAGCTTCTTGCTCACGACAAAGCAAATGTCAGGCAAAATAAGAGCAGCTTACAACCAGCATCGGCCATCTTCCTTCACCTCTGACCCTCCACTTCCTGCTCCTCCTGGTTGCTGTAGGGACATCAAACATTGCTGCAGTTTTGTTTGCATTTATCTTATCCTCTTAACATCCTTTTAAAATATATTTCAAAGAATGAGGATTCCACTATTGGAATAATAGATAGATCATAATAATGGGTTGCAAACATTACAAATGCGTGATGTTCTGCCCTGAATACATAAATAAGTGCATTTTTAAAAAAAAGTCTTAACTGTGAAAGGGAAAACATCTTTTATTTCCTATAATTGCAACTTTATTTCATTTGCTGTATTACTGTTTCAAAGAATTTTATCTTAAAAATGCCAATTATGTCTCCATATTTCTCATTTCTAATTCCTAAAGCAATTTCAGAATTTTGACAAGGAGACAACATGAGTAACTAAACACACATGCCAATTAACATTAAAGAAAAAATCTTGTGTAAATATACAGGGTGTCAATGAATAATTATATTTGTTGTTGGATTGCAGATTCCAAGATGTAATTTTAATGTTGCATGCTACAATTCATTCTGCTTTAATTGAAAACTTAAACCCAGTGGTCTCATTCATGACATACCACAAGTGGAAAATCATTATGACAGAAGAGGCTATTCAGCCCTTTGACGCCATACTGGATATGCAATCCTGTCAGCCACTGCAATAATTGTAATAAGGTCAGTAAGCTGGATGTCATAGGATATGTGTTCCCTGATTGAGGCTGTTAATCTGGTCCAATCAGGGAGCACTGGCTGACATATAAATAGGGCGAGTGTCCCAGATTCTGGTGCCTGACTGTGTATATGGCAGTACTATAAGTCCAGGACTGTGCATGTGTAAATAAATGGTGACTTGGTGATGAGATACCAGCCTCTGTTGAGTTATTTCAGTGATATATTTATACATATAGCCCTGCAGGTTTCCCTCAAATACTCACCATTTTTTGTTTCAAACTGTCCATTGTCTCTGCCTGCACCACCCTCAATGGGTTCTAGGTCCTAACCTCTTGCTGTGAACATAACTCATTCTCATGTTCCCCTTGCATTTTTTTGTGTTAAACCTTAAAATTGTGTTCCTTGGACCTATGCAATTACTAAGGCTAAGCACATAGAACATAGAACATTACAGCGCAGTACAGGCCCTTCGGCCCTCGATGTTGCGCCGACCTGTGAAACCAATCTGAAGCCCATCTAACCTAAACTATTCCATTATCATCCATATGTTTATCCAATGACCATTTAAATGCCCTTAAAGTGGGCGAGTCTACTATTTTTGCAGGCAGGGCATTCCACGCCCTTACTACTCTCTGAGTAAAGAACCGACCTCTGACATCTGTCCTATATCTATCACCCCTCAATTTAAAGCTATGTCCCCTCGTGCTAGGCATCACCATCCGAGGAAAAAGGCTCCCACTGTCCACTCTATCTAATCCTCTGATCATCTTGTATGTCTCTATCAAGTCACCTCTTAACCTTCTTCTCTCTAACGAAAACAGCCTCAAAACCCTCAGCCTTTCCTCATAAGACCTTCCCTCCATACCAGGCAACATCCTGGTAAATCTCCTCTGCACCCTTTCCAATGCTTCCACATCCTTCCTATAATGCGGCGACCAGAACTGTACGCAATACTCCAAGTGCGGCCGCACCAGAGTTTTGTACAGCTGCAACATGACCTCATGGCTCCGAAACTCAATCCCTCTACCAATAAAACCTAACATACTGTACGCCTTCTTAACAACGCTATCAACCTGGGTGGCAACTTTCAGTGATCTATGCACATGG